CTCATGAAACTCCGCCCCCTCCCCCTTGTATTGCTGTTGCAGTGGGGGGGCCGTGTCTATTTTTGTGTCGTTTTAGGGGTCGTGTCTCCGTCCCCTTCTCAGGGCTGGCACGGGGCCACCCTGGAGATGGCTCTGAGATGTGAGGCCTTTCACAACCCAAAAATAGACACAGGGCCTCCGACTGCTGCAGCAGTGCAAGTGTGAAACGGCGAGGTGGGGGAAGAGTTTCATGAGCAGCCATCATCTTTGTGTTTGTTACTGTGGTGTACTTGTAAAAGGTCCAATTCCCTGTTAAGGGATCATTCAAGTTTATTATAATCAGATCTTTCCTAATTTTGACTATGATTTGTATCAGTTAAATGCTGTCTTTGTTTGTGTGATGCCCCTGTTATTATGCCCGATAGATGACAGCAAAAACTATGTATCAACTTGTTGAGTGGCCGCATTTGAAGCAGAGTTGAAAAGTCAGCTTTTGATCAAACTCTGTATCGTCCCCCCTCGATTGCCTCGTCATGCTCCGCTGGACGTCATTTTCATAGAAATAATTTCCATGTTGTGGCTCTCCTGATGTAACACACCAGCGAACCCAACCCACAGCCCTGATGTTATCTTCGTCATCCAAACACCTGCTTTCTAGGAGGGTGAATAAACTCTGCCGGCTCACAGGAATCAGCATGTTTCATGTCTTTTTTTTGGAATATAAAGAGTGTTTGTGGAATTAATAGACTGCTGAGCAGACAAGACAGTGTGCCACCGTGAAACTCAATCTCTCGAACTGTGACTGTTCAAATAAATACAGGATACAAAATCCTCCTTCGCATGCAGCAACGATAACATCTCCATTCCCAGCGTTCATCCCTTCGAGCAACCTGACAACACTTGTCCCAGTCGGGTCTTTTCAGTTGATTTGAGACAGGGTTTTCTCTTTTCCTTTCACCCCTCCATCCCTCCCACTCATTGCGGTTCTCCTGCATTGCCTCCATCTATATCGGGCCCCTGTAATTATGTTAATGTAATGTTTGTATTTATAGGCGGCTGCCGCAGCGCTCTGGCAAGCCGCTCTGTCCCAGCTGGGAAGCATTGGTCTCGGGGGGCCCCTGGATGGAAGCAGCTTCTGAGGTTGGCTTACCTGGTGCCAACCCTCTAAACCGTCACCTTCAGGATTAAACCATCATTTTATAAACAAGGCACAAAACTTAGCCCACGGTCTTGGTATATTTGGAATTAGAATTAAATAAATAAAAATATAATTAATTAATAATTAAATAACTGGTTAATTTTACTTCCAAAGGCATGTACAATTATTCAAATAAAACTATCAGACAGGAAAGAATCTTAAGTTGATCTGGACACAACCTACAGTAGACATAGCTTTGTTTTAGGCTTGTTACTCTTTAGCAACCCCCCCACACCCTGCTTTAGATTGCATCACAGTTCAACCAGCATTATGATCCCTTCTCAGATGATTTATAGTGTTTAGAAGAGAAAAAGAAAAGAAAACTCATCTTGTGATGCCTATAGGTTTTGTCTTTAGAGGGCCCAGAACTTCAGGTTGGGAACCAGTTTTCAAGGAAATCTGTGCTTTGTGTAGCCTGTATTCACATCAAAACCACGTTTTTTTTTATATCATCTTTGACAATCACACTCAGGACTCAGAAATCATGTTCATTTAGTTTAATATGTACATTAAAATAAACTATTTACATTATATTAAAAAACAATTCAATTTACAAGGCAGTACATTTCTTCAAGACAAACAAACAAGTCTTTTTGGGTTGTATTTTTTTTGTTTCTAAAGACTGGGTAGCCCTTTGTCAATCAGGTGGCGCTGAGATGGCATTGCACTTCTGTGAGACTTCCTACAGACAGACTCACAGACTCAACATCCTATTCAAGAATGAATGGAATGAACGGCAGTTTCAGAATAAAACATTGTCTCAAAGCTCATCTCACATGCGCACGCGTACACTCACGATATAACACACAGGATCATACTTTGATTGTCTTTTTAGCCAGTGGAGAATATGGCACTCGTAAGGATTTGTAATAATGTGTTATAAAAGGCACTATAGGTGAAAGTACAAAGAAAGAAAAATATCAATGTTCTTCAAAAAGGATTGTCTGCTTCCAGTTGCTTCAGTGGCATGTGCCTGACATGTTCAGTGGAATGTTCCTTTAATGTGTCGTCTATATAAACAGCATTCCATAAAAAAAAGTAGTACCAGCTACATAGTAAAAAAAGAAAATAAAAAAATTCGAACAGAATTCATCTGTTTCTGTCGTATCTGGCTGTTTTTTCCTCCTTGACTTGTGGTTTGTTTGTCCTTTCTCTCAAAGATAATAACATTTAAATAAATCTTTTCACAAAAAATATAATTTCAGAGCATGTCATCTATATGCTCCTTTTGCCCCAATGGAATACAAATCACTATAATATTCCTCTAGTTATTACAGTTTAGTCATCGTGCTGTATGGCAGTGTATGCTGTGGTGGTATCACTATAGCAGATACTCCTATAGGAACCTCTATATACAGCATCCGTCTCTAGCTCATCATCGAGGATTATAGCTCTTTGAATCGGGTCCATGCGGTGCACAGGAGTCCTTGGCTTTCCTCACATGTGCCTCTTCATGTGCAGGGCGAGGTGGTCGGAGCGGGAGAAGGCCCGCTCACACAGGTGACACTGGAACGGCCGGTGTCCGGTGTGCTTCCGGAAGTGACGCGTGAGCTCATCGGAACGCGCAAACTTCCAGCCGCAGCCCTCCCAGCTACAGTGGTACGGTTTCTCTCCTGTGGACAACAACAGCCGTGAGTGACGTCACAGTTTTTTATTCGTGAGCACGTCTATTATAGTTGCCTACACATGTTTCTGTATGTGCTGCTGTAAAAAAAAAAAAAGAAAAAAAAAGAAATATGAAATCAAATCAATATTAAATAAATCCGTCCGCTACATTCAACGTGCGGCTCTTACCTGTGTGCGTCCTGTGGTGCGCCTTCAGGTGGGAGCTCTTGGTGTAGGTCTTCCCACAGCCAGCGAAAGTGCAGGTGTGCGTTGCAGTCCGTTTCCTCGGCCAGGACCGGCGACCCCTCTTCGGCTTGGCGTCCATCACATCCAGCGGGGAGGACGGCGGGGTGAGCAGGACCCGCTGGCCGGCCGCCGGCTGCTGCTGCTGCTGCATGCCCATGGATGCGTCCTCCCCAAACATGCCGGTGAACTGGTGGTGGTGGTGGTGGTGGTGGTGCGCCACGGGGAAAGGTATCTGCATCCCTGCGTGCGCTTGAGGGAATCCCCCGGACGCGCAGCGGTGGTGCGCGTGGTGGAAGCTCTGCGGGAACGTCAGCGAGGCGGAGTTGCACATCTGGGGCTGGTGGCACTCGGAGCTCATCAGGTCGTCCGGGCTCAGCGGCGGCGTCATGCTGCCCAGCGCGGCCTGCGGAGAGTTGGCTAGCCGCGGCTGCTGATCGTACGACATCATGCAGGAGACGCTGCCCTCTTGCTTGACTTTGGCGCAACTCTGAGGCACCAGACCCATGGCGGGTCCGTACGTGTCCATGGAGGCGGGCTCCACTTTAATGTTCAGATGCTCGGGGAATAAATCCTGAGTGGTCGGGAAAGGCGCGGAGCTGATCTGGAATCTCCCGTGGATGCTGGGGCCGCTCCCGGGGAGGAAGCTGGTATCCACGTCGGAGCGAAGGAGCTCCGCCATCAGGCTGTTGTAGGGCGGCGGAGGGTTGTTCATGTCTGAACCAGAGGTGTAACTGGCTGGCTGCTGGGGCATTCCGGTGTGCTGCTGCTGTCCTTGCTGCTGGTGATAAGCGGACAACCCGGACTCCTGGAGCCGATAGGACTCTGCCCCAGTCCCCGCGGTCGGCACGCTGTCGGACACGGTGGTGTTAGCGAGAATAAACTCAAGATCCAAGAACTTATCCAGGTCCTCTTCGTCTTTTCTGCCGAGGCAGCTGCTGTCCATGTTGAGCGCAACGCCGCTCATGTCACACTTCCACCTCTGGAGCAAAGAGTAAAGAGAATAATTCGTTTGTTTCAAAATTGACAACATAACTTCCTCTTCACCTTCAGTCATTCGCCTCAATAAAGTAGCTCGAAAAACAGCCAAACAAGTGCAGAGAGAATGAGCTGAATACTACCAACTACTACTTTTCATTTAACTTTGCAGTACCTGGAAACTTTGCATAATTCCAATGTTTAAAAACGTCCCAAGGACCATCAAACACCGTGTATGATTTATCATATGACAGACTGACACCAGCACAACAAAATACATTAAATCCTGTGACTAAATAAACATGTAAATATATAGAATGCGCCACTTACATCTTCCCAACATTTCTCCTTTTGGACTGCAAATGTAGAGATTGATGGTAAAATTGTCCCACTTAAGGCCATTTCCATGCGTTCTTAAAAAAAGTTTTAAAAGTCCTTAAATATTGAGAAAATGCACTTTCACTGTTTTAAAGTAAATCAGAGTCCGCTGAGTCTCCAGAAAATAAAAGAAAAAGCTTCAGTGCGCGTTGCTTCTTCCGCGGTCCGATGAGCTGCTGCTCTCTTCACTCATGTGCAAGCTGTGCCGTCTGGAGGGAGCAGCTTTTCTTATAAGTATTGTTCGCAGCACAAGTCGGACCAATGCGAGGCAAGGGGAAGGAAGCGCGTCCAGGATGAGGACGCTGCGCACCGGCCAAGCCCCCTAAATTTAGCCACGGTATAAAAGTCCGAGTTTCCCTGCGAGTCAGAGACAGAGAGGTGGCGAGAGAGTCGAGGAAGAAGAGGAACGATGCGGAATGCTCTCTCTGCTCCGCTGCGGGCAGCTACTTAACCTCCTCAGGGAAGAACCCGCCCTCCTCCCGACAAACCTGGCCAACAACTGGCAGGGCAGAGAGAACCAGACCGCCCCTAGACAATGCACCACTAAAACACGAATAAGCAATTAACACACTGTTGTCAAAAGAGCGACAAAAATAACCCAGATACTAAAAGGGCACACAGGCTTATCCACAGGATGCCACAGGTGCCATGCGTAATACGCATCGGGGTACGGAGCGCTTTTAGGCACACAGAGAATGAGGCAATGTGTTCTAAACAGGGGGTGTAGAGCAGGCTTCCGCCACTAGGCGCCAGCTACACCAAGGCTCCTCTCCCCTCTTCTCCGGGAAGCATCAATCAAGACTCCATTCATTCATTTGTAATCTGGCAACATGGTCAGAGTTGTTGGTTCCAATCTGAACATGAGTGACTGTTACTGCGCCCGTGGTCTATGAAAAGGGGCTGTGGCCCAAACATATCAACCAGTCAGTGTCAATTAAACACGTGATATAACATGTCTTCTCGTGATTTTCTTTGCAGTGGAAGAAGTGTTCACATTCAATTAAAAGTTGTATCAGCACGATGTAAAAATACTATGTTACAGGTAGAACTGTACACTGAAAATGCCACATGAGTGAAAGATATTATCAGCAAAGTATTGAAGTATAAAACCAGCAAAAATACAAACAAACAGGCTATGTATTTCATGTGTCATGTAGCTTTTTGAAATCTTCCTCTGCAGTGTAAATAATGACTGCACAGCTGTCAAATACATGTGATGTAGAAAGACATATGTACACCATCACACAGGTACTTCACAATTGTTGACTTATTTTATGGTCTATGTTACAGCAGGAACCCGGTTTGTAGGCCTATGTGCTATTGTCTATGTCCTTCAATGACTCATGAAGAAAGAAGAAAGTGAGCGATGTCAAACACTTGAAATAGCAATCAGCACTAGCAGAGAAGAACATACTGTACTTTTACATTGTTTTGCACTGGTGAACAATGATTTGAGATGATCATTAAAGGCTGACTGGCCTTTGATAGTCAGCCAATTACTTTTGGAGGCTTGGCATCCTTTGGTGATTTGGTGGCATTCCATTGTATTCATCAGAGTGCATGCGTAGCATACGAAGCACGTGAAGAATCATGTACCAACCAAGCCGGTCTCTGTACACACCTTTACTGTTGACAGGTATTGGCGATCCCTTCAGTAGAAAGTTGTCCTTATTAAAGCTATTTACAGAAAGGTCTGCGTTTTTATTGAAATGTCATTTTTCAACTCTAAAAGAGCCACAAACTAAAATTTCATTTGCATCTCCCTCATCTGAGAAACATCAGGTTAAAAACTCACATACGGGCATTTGGACTATTCCCATGTGATGCATTTTCTTGATTTAGACATACCTATCAAGGGGGAATATCAAGGTCAATATATTGGTTATAGATCCATTTTTATATATGTTGTACATGTTGAATAATCCAATATGTACAGTGGATTGTATACAGGCTGCAACCTCCGGGTCTGAAAAATGAAGCCAATGAGGAAGTGCTTTAAACCTGCATTCTTTCTAATGGCCATCGGGGGGCGACTCCTCTGGTTGCAAAAAGAAGTCTGATTGTATAGAAATCTATGAGGAAATTAGTCTAATTCTCACTTGATTTATTACCTCAATAAATATTGTGAACATTAGTCTTCTTCAATACAGCAGGGTATGCTTTAGGGCGGGGCTACCTTGTGATTGACAGGTCACTACCACTGCGTTTTCCAATCTGGGAGGTTTTTTGTCTTAAAACTTTAACCCTTTCACTGTGTTTTCAGTTTATGAAATTCAATTTTAACAATTCGGTTGCCTGAAAATGTCCTATTCAGCGTTCGGTTGTACCTTAGCTCCACCCTCTCGTATCACTTCTGGCTGCCAAAAACCCAGATGGCCACTGCCAAAATGCCGGATTTGAGGCTACAAAATGACAAACCAATGGGTGACGTCACATTGATTACATCCACTTCTTTTATACATTCTATGATTTCATATTGTGTTTTTAAATATTAAATTGAGCATTATGGTTCATAAAGAAGGATGAAGCCTTTGTATATCACTTCCTGGCTGAAGCTGGTTACCTGCTAGCTGTTCATCAGAGGGAGGAGGCCGTGAAAACATGGATGTAATGAGAACAAGTGAATACGGTAACTCAGGTTCCTTATTCTGAATCACTCAGTCATACTTTCCAGGATGATGCTGTACATGTATGTGTAAGAGTGCATGAGCAAAATATGTGCATCTGAATACTTTTGATGCGTGGTAGTCAGTTTGGCTGATTCTCTGACTAGATGTGATGACTACAAGACTCCTTGTTCTGTGGTTTTCATTTCCAAATTCAGGGGGTGGTATGTAGCATCAAAGTATCTCACTATGTTGCATTTACTATATGGGAAAGTCACAAGTTATTCAGTGATTCATGTTACGAGCAGCCGAGACAGAGCTTACCAAGTCACACAGTGAGAAATATGACTGACAGCCCGCACTCCCAGTATTGTCTTGATGGTGTTGGAGAGGATGATTCAGATATGACCTTTTGATCCAGTGATCCATTCATCCTTCAGCGGGCTGATGTCCCCGTGGTGATCTGCTCTTATCAGACTGGAGAAGCCACTGCTGGATGCTCTGTCTTACCCAGAGTCCTAACTGTGTGTTGGTGGATGTATTAAACCAGTGTTTCCTAAAACATTTCTTTCAGGGGACCCGCTTTTTAAAAATGACAAACCGTTGAGACACAATTCACAATAGGCCGTTTCTATACATTTGAGCAAATTTGAGCCTAAGTAAACGTTCCTGACCATTTTTGACCGCCGTTTCCCCATGAGCTCATATTACCTTGAATATGTAAACCAGCCACTTTGCAGAGATACGTTTGATACATCACAACTTTGCTTTATGTTAAAAACTTTATAAATGAGACCAAATAAATGCATTTCGGCAGATTTAACAGGCTCTCATATTTTTCTTTCATATTAGATTCAATGTTATAAGTACTCTACAATCCTCAAACCTGAGCCGCAAGATAGTTTGTTTCACAGAACCATCTGAGAGGCGGACATTGGAAACTGTTTGGAAAAGGGCAGGCCCTTTCAAAAAAGGTATTTGCAGCTGATTAGATGAACCATCTGGCAGTCAAACTCTTACAGAAGCCAGTCGGGAGAAGAGAGAAAACAAGTTTTCCACGGAGAAAAGCCTTCAGTGTCTTTCTTTTTCTGATATATCTGATGCTATTGCAGCATCTACGCTAACCTCTTCAGGTTCCGCCATTGTTGTTTAGAACGAAACATCTTGTCTCTTGTGTCGTCTCACACACTTAAGCCACGCCCATAGCTTCCAGTAGCTCCTCTCAGGACGCCAATTGGTCCGCGCTCCGTCTAACTGGACACCAAACGCATTACTCGAAGCCTGACGAGATGGATTTTCGTTTTGACGTGTGATCCCGCGAATCTCACATGATTTTGTGACATTGCGAAGATTCCAGCTGCAGTGCGATGTAAACAACCATGCAACCTGAGACCCAGGTTTAAAAAATACTGGAATTTTACACTTTCACCAGGCTAATCTCTGTTTGATACGCAGAGATGACGCACAATATCATTCCTCTCATGTGGGCAACATCACCAGAAATGTCAGAAACTCTTTGGCAAAAATCGTAACCCTTAAGTGTTGTAGCTTTGTACAAAAAGTTGGGTTCATTTCAGATTTATTTGACATCTATTTACGAAGAGCGATGTGTCTCTTCACACACATCTCGTTGTCATATTTACGATTTATATCTGTAACCATTAAAGGAAATCGAGAATAATTCGCTTTCTTCTCATCTGGATGCCTGTCTCTATATTGTCCTACACCCTACCCGTATATGACTCCTCCACTTCCATCGCCATCTTGTGTCTCCTGTCTTCTCCGTTCTCTAGGCACACTTATTCATGCCTCAGTAATCGCCCATTGATGCTTGAAGTCACCTGTGTCTGTGGCGACAACTGAATGAAGATTTGACGCACACACATGGCAGCACTGTTTACTCCGTTGCTCCCAGTTGCTTTTACACACTGTCTTAAGGCAATCTGATCCTTTAATTGAGACGTGAACAGCAAACAGTGGACCTGCGCTGCTTGTTGTGTGCGCTCCCTCAGCCAGCAGTGGCAGCTGTACTCCACATGCCGAACGTATTAGATCTGACATGGAAATGTACCCACGCATATGTGTTTGAGAGGCTGAGTCTGTGTGTGTGTGTGTTGGCCTGTTGTCACACCATGATGGTGTACATTTCCATGTGGAAGTGAGTCCTGGCTGGCTGGCTGGCTGGGTGTTTCTCTGCGCGCGTGTCAGAGGTTTTCTCACATGTGCTCATCTGGCTCCGTGTCACTGTTTGGGCTGAGATTTACATCATGGCAAAATAACGTCTGATGGGCTGCAAACACGTGTCTTGTAGAGGAGTCCAAACCTCGCTGTACACAAAGATTGCAACTCTTTATGACGCATTACCAAATTAAAACATTCACTTCCAAGTGGGCATATACTGATAGATACAGACATCTGAAAGGCTGTAGTGCATTGATGTCTCTCACTTTTAGTGGGAAACATTGTTTGTAAGTACTGTGGTCATGTGACTTGACCCTGGGATCAACTGTATCTCTCTCTCTCTCTCTCTATATATATATATATATATATATATATATATACAGATATATATATATATATATACATATATATATATATATACATATATATATATATATACATATATATATATATATATATGTATATACCCTTTAATTCAACATGACTGTTTGCGGTAAAAATGTCACCAATCCTGAAGTAAGTGTTGATATTGTTGCAGGTTTAAAGCTAATGTTTCTATGATAAAAGTATTGTTTGAGACTAATAGTTTGTGTTGTTAAATGCTCGTTGTGTTTTGGCAATTT